ACCTAAGTACACTGTAATAGAGTTTCGCAAACTTGTGTTTACTAGCATGTACTTAGCTACTTCCTTCGATGGTAGGATCAAAACAAGTTATCTTTCAATTTGTATGGTTTAATTAAATATATAATTTTGTGAACTGCACGGTTCTTCTTATGAACAATCCACTCGTTGCTATTCGAATAGAACACGTAGGAACATAATACCTACTCATAAGGGCGCACAGAGTTCCTGTATAGCGCAAATTCGATTTAGAACTAACGTGTGCACACATTCAAATATCGTGTTCGAGCATTCACTTGCTCTACAATAGCACATACCTACCTACACAAATAGCTTTTCCGGAAAAAAAAAATAATGAAGTGCATCGCAACGGCAATGTGGAGGATTCTCGCATTATGTTAAAACTACATTCAATTTAAAATCCCCGTTATTAAATTCTGAATTATTTCCCTAACATTTCACTTCTGGAGATTACGTCCTCATTTCGGTGCCGTCCTCCATATAGAGAACAATAAATTTCAATATTCCAAATTTTATCTGGCCAGTAAATTCATTCGGGAAAACGTATTATCCGGATCAGGTCCAATAAATGTTACGTGACCTGAAAATGGAAGGAAGGAGGAAGGCGAGTCGAAAAGTGACGTGTCATTATTTTCGGAATACAGTTGCTTTCAAAATTTTTCTATATATATTTTTTATATACTATACTTAATAAATCGTATAAATAGTTATATAATAGTTTGCTCTCGGGAGTGAAAAATTAAATAATGATTGGCTGCACGACGTAAAAATAAATACTAACTAGTAATTTCCTGTTTAAGTGCGCTAAATGGAATGTAAAATCTAGTTTAAATTCGAGGGGAAAAACCGAAAAAGTATGCTCGACTAGAACTATCGGGAATGAAGGAAAATAATGAAGAATAAATTGCCGTGTTCCCGCAATTTATGTCGTTTACTTCATGAATAATTTACAGACTTTTCCTAACTCTTCTTTTATAATTCAAGTGATATATTCAGAAAAAGTGTAATTTCTAATGTATTTTTCGCTTCCATAATTTCTTACTTAATTGTAACATTTAGAAATTTATTCATCTGGCTTAATACGTATGAATTTTAAATAAATTATCGAAATGAATGGATATTCATTAGGCACTTTCAGCGGGAATTTTTAAAGTTATTTGACGCTTGATGTAAAGAAAAACGACTATGATCGACTTTCGCCTCGGCAACGCGTGACCTTTTTCCCTTTTTCTGAAAGGTAATGCCTCCGAATTGCTTAGATTTATTAAAAATGCACGAGACGTTTTAGCGTTAGCGTCAGAAAGAAAAAATATTCGAAATATCTCCGACGGGCGAAATAGGTATATTAATGCTACACAGAAGCGTTCGAATTGAATGTTAAACGTGTGCGCGATAATCCACGCGAATTTGTAAAATCAAATAAACCGTTAAATACCTATTATACAACGCAACGTAATATATTCTCGATGCAACGACACGGTCGATTAAGTTTCATATCGATTCGAAATACGAGCAAGCCTACATTAGCATATTGACAAGGAGTTTGTCAAGTTAAATGTTAAGCAACTTCGAAACTTTGAAGCTATTAGCTGCGGCTCTACATTTACTGACGGATTAATCTATATACGATTTTGATAGCTAAACTATACAGGTATTTCCAACTGTTGTAATACCTTCAATAGGAATAATGCAGTAATAATTACCTTAAAACTGTTGATTACATAATTTGCATATTAATTCAAATTAAAATCATTTTTATTTTGTGACACATTTGCAATTTAATTAGCGATACCGACCGATTTTATCTTCCAAAAGGATTTTTGTGTCAATGCATTCTATATTTATTTTAACTGAAAAAAACTAGAGATTTGCATATCGATGATGTTTATTCGAATATTTTATTTCGAAATGATCCAGGAATATCCATTATCCTAGATACCTTTTAAATACTTTTTAGATAATTACAACTAACATAAATTTGTATGTACGGAAATGGTGATAAAATAAATGTTTTGATTTAAGGCTACTCAGCGTGAGCACGAACTTTATAATCTGATTCCTACGATAACCAGTACGATTTTTCAGTCCTAAACTGGGCAACAAAAAAAGAATAAACGTCGATTTGATTTAAAGCAGTTACATGCAAATGCGGCTATAAAGGATTTTACAAAGCGGTATCGGAATGCTTTAAAAGCATGCTCTTCAGGAAAGCGCACAACTCTCTTATAAATCACGTTTCAGCCACGTTATGAAAATAGGCCAAGAAAGTAATATTTCCGGGCGGCAGCTGACTCAAACGGCGTTGCAATGGCTTCGTTAAATTTCTTTTCATTGACCAACGATTTATATCCGGTATAATCCCGTTGGTAACTCACTTTTTAAAGCGCTGATGAAAGTCCGTTTGAAAATTCATCGGAATTAAAAGACCCTTTGAGCCGACGTTAGTGTAAATATTAAATAAAATCGTCCGGAAAATCGTTTCTTGCTTACCATAATATCCCTCACGGCCAACTCGAGCGGCTAAATTAAGTTTCCTTTAAATATTTCCAAGAGAAGTAAAGTAGCGATTCTTTTGCGGCGGTCTTTTCTAACCCCAGATGGACTAATTGATGAATTTTTATATTCGGTCGCGATTTAAAATTTAAACGCCCACATCTCCAGAGGGTGCTCCGCGCATTTACAGCCCGTCGTCCGCGAAATTCATTGTAAAAAGTTCATTTTGCGCTGAGACAACGTAAGGTGAGAGGTCGGACGGCGTCGCTTGGGAAATCATTTTACTCGCATACGGCTGTTTGCTTTTAATTTCAGTTGATGATCGACTATTTCGCCCGGGTTTTTCTAGTTACGCGATAATTTATAGTTTAATTTTGGTAAACAAATATTCCTTTATAAACTTTCGTATCATACACCAACATACATGTAAATTCAAGGCATTATGTTCGATAAACCTACTTGAAAAACAATTTATCTGACAACAACAACTGATTTACTTATCCGTTATCATTACTTCATAACAAATATTAAGTAATTGGCTAATTTTAATAAGTAATTTCAACGACGAATTTTTAATTGCGGACATTAGGTTAGGTAATGATAGGTGGAGAATTCCCTTTGATTTGATTGATTTGGTCGCGATACGGATTCTCGTAATAGCAACGGAAGGTGAGAAAATTAGAGAGGAAGGACGTCTGTTCCTCCTTTGCGGCGAATTCGATATCGACTGCGGCGTCGCGGCGCAACGAAAACCGTTACGGAAGTTGGCGAGCGCCGTCGAAATACGCCAATTACTCGTACAAGACGAACGGCGATTTTATATCGCCAAATTGGCACCCAATTGAATGCCGTAATTACGCAAAAAGAACACGTGAAATCGGTTTATTTTTCTTCATGTAGTTACTACACCTAATTAATTTAACGCGGCGCTAACGAGGACGTCGGAATTTTCCGCTAGTACATTTCAGTACGTTCAATATTAATAGAATGAATCGTATATAAATCTCGCAAAGTCTGGAGTATCAGAACTTTTTGATATTGTCAATCGTTCTCTCTTCGTGCGCCATCCGAAGGAGGAATTAACGAACGTACGTGAGACCCTTTTCTAACACCTGCGGCTCTATGCGGAACATAAACTTTCAGTTAATAGGATTAGTTTTTCAGGAATACTCCTTCAATTTGCCGTGTCGGCCCCGTTCCGGGCTTACTTTAAAACACACTTTGTATTTCAGGGTATTTTCGCCGCATTAGATTTTTTTGTTCGGCCCCTTACATTTTTCAGCGAGCCGAACTTGTGCGCTTCGAAAGTAGATTGTGGCGGAGAGGAGCCTTTTTATTCGGTGGAAAAGGCTTCGAGTGTTCTCTCTGCGGTTTTTAATGGCAGCTCCGGCCTCCGAACGGAATGAAATGGTGATTAACAATCGTTTCGCCGGCGTAGGTGCTGTACTTTGGCGGATGCGAGACGGGCTTTCAGTTTACTGATGAATTTTTCCGGTTAACGATGTTAATCATTAACGTGTAAGCGCGTTGGTAAAATATTAAACTTTAAGAAAAACGGTTCGTCTGGTGTTAGTAGAACATTCCCGCTACTCCTTGTATATTCGTATAATTAATTATTACAAACAATACCTACTTTGTAGTGGGTATATATTGAGACGATAAGAAGTATTTATTTATTCGCCCGTGAGCGCTTTATTTAAATACATGCCTATATCGATAACGGCAAAAACATTTGCCAGTTAAAAATTGAATTGCGCGAATAGCAGTAAAATAGGAAAAACGATTGTCGATGTTAATTCCGAAGGCAAATTTGCTTTATATCTAAATAGGGCCCGCCGGCCAAGTTACAATAACCAAGTTTTTTATGGACGAACATTTAAAATTCTATTAAAAGCAGAAATTTTCAATATTTGCGGCCAGGATTGATTCTAGTTGAGTAGGTAAGTAAATTGAAATTTCGTAAACATTTTTGAAAAAATATTCTCTATAAACCATCTTTCACTACTACCAATTTTTTTGTATCAAAAAATTTATCATTAATCATAAATTGTTTATAATTACATAGGTAAATTTATTTTTCTTTAATATTTAACACGCAAAAAATAAACAATTATCTACCCATTTTACTAATTAACGCCAATTAGTTTTTAATTATTTTCCCATATTACCCCAATCATTTACAGATAATTGTTACTTTAGTTGACATCGAAACAATGAACGGTTTATTTGCTAAGAAAATTAATCGAGCTATTTATATTACTTAATTGCTTTCGATTTTTAATGATAAGTACTTACTCAATCACATAATTACCTATACGTAGGTATATTTAAAGTATTTCTTTCATTATTCAATCTCTAAACACACACTGTTTATTGATAATAATATAAATTATGTAGGTGCAAAAAATTTTTACCATTTAGGTTTCAATATTTAAAATTTACCCTACACAATTTTTATACGGCAAACAATGAATTTTAGGTATTCAACAATGCCGTATCTGACCCTTCTCTTGCTAGCCCTGTCGGGCTGCCACTACGCCAAGTCCCAAACAGAGTGCCAAGATCCCGTCTACTGCCAAGGACGGCTCTTAGACACCATCCAAACGGCCGGGATTTACAACGACTCGAAACAGTTCGTCGACATGGTGCAGAAGAACTCCCAAAACGTCACGCTGGCCAATTTCGCGGCGTTGGTAGCGCGGACGGGCGCCCGGCCGTCGAAGGAGGACCTCGAGCAATTCGTCCAAGAGAACTTCGATTCGGAGGGCGAGCTCGAGCCGTGGACGCCCCCGGATCTCAACGACAACCCGGCGTTCTTGAACAGGATTAAAGACGGCGACGTTCGATCGTTCGCCAAGGCCTTAATTAAAATCTGGCCCACCTTAGGCAGGAGAGTCAAAGAGTACGTTAACAAAGAACAGGACCGGCATTCGATTATTCCTCTGCCGAACGGGTTCATTATACCCGGGGGTCGGTTCTCCGAAGCGTATTACTGGGATACCTACTGGATAATTAAAGGTTTGCTCCTGGGAGAGATGACTGAAACAGTCCGTGGGATTTTGGAAAATTTCGTGTCGCTCATACAGAGGTTAGTAAATGAAATTAAATAACAGATCGATGAAATTATCGCTTTGTTTACTCAAACAGATTCGGTTTTATTCCCAACGGGAGTAGGGTGTATTACTTGAACAGATCCCAACCGCCACTGTTCGCTCCGATGGTGAAACTTTACATTGACAGCACGAAAAATATCACTTGGCTAAAGAAAAACATCCAATTTATCGAGCAGGAGATAGAGTGGTGGTTAGAAAACAGGACGGTTAAAATAAGAAAGTGCGGAAAAACGTACAAGCTGGCTCAATTTAGAGTGCAAAGTGGAATTCCTAGAGCCGAATCTTATAGAGAAGACGTTGAAACTTGCAAACCTTTTGAAAATTCAGAAAAGGTAACTATTTAATTACATAGAAATAGCAGTAGTGGGATTTTTTTGGATTTCAGGAAAGGTGCTACAACGAAATCAAAGCCGCAGCGGAATCAGGCTGGGATTTTTCCTCCAGGTGGCTATTCAACCAAAACGGTTCAATCAGCACGAATTTAACCACCATCAGAACCAGTGAATTAGCTCAAGTCGACCTTAACGCATTCCTCTGCCTCGCCATTAAAGACCTCTCAAACTTCTACCAATTAATTGGCGACAAGAAAAAATCATCCGAATGGGCCGCCGTAGGGGAAACCTGGACCCAAGCCATAGAAGCCGTTTTATACAACAAGCAAGACGCCATGTGGTACGATTGGGACATTCACCGCAAACAGCACAGGAAAGCCTTCTACCCCAGCAACTTTGCCCCTCTCTGGGCCGACGTAATAGACCCATCGCAGAAAGAAACCTACGGCAAAAACGCCGTGAAATACTTGAACAAAAATAAAATCACCCAATACTTGGGCGGCATACCCACGTCTCTGCTGAAAAGCGGGCAGCAATGGGACTGTCCCAACGCTTGGCCTCCCCTGCAAGACCTCGTCGTGCGAGGATTGAGAAATACCGGAAATAGCGAGGCAATTAAACTTTCAAAAACTCTCGCCACTAACGTTGTAAAAGCGTACATGATAGGCTATGACAAAACCGAAGAGATGTTCGAAAAATACGATGCAGTTAAAGTTGGAGAGTACGGAGGTGGAGGAGAGTACGTGGTGCAGACCGGTTTCGGTTGGACCAACGGAATAGCACTTGAATTTATAAATAGTTATTTCACATCATAAACGTAGTTTTATCAATAAATAATATTCCTTTAAGCATTATAAATATCGGAAGTTTAATTGAAATAATCCAATTATCCATACTCTTTCCCTATTTTGTTAATCCCTCGCAGGAATTATCAGGTAAAAACTTTCCGCGTATTTGCATAATCTTTCTCCCTTTTGGAATTTAAACAAAAACCGTCACTTTTATGCGGGCAAGGATATCGAATAGACTAAATTGCGAACGTACCGAGGATTCTATTTGCATATCAATCTCTGCAATGAATATTCCATGGATGTCCATCGTCGGGGATAAGCCTGACCTAACAAGTTTCCACGTAAATTCAATTCAATCGTCGATGCCTTATTTGGACCGTTCTAAATGCGAAATGATTTAAGGCCCTTTGATTTTTGTAAATTCGAGGTTCGGTCGGTGCGAGTTGTCTGCGCGAATGTTTTTTTATTAATTTTACGGAGACAACTCGGCGAGTACGTTTCGAATAATCAAATACATAGAAGTAATCGCATTAAATTCTACCGAGACCGGGTCTTTCGTATAAACCTAGCGAGACGTGTAAAATAAAGGATAAAAAATCCTCTCAAACGAAGGTACACGGCAAACGTATCTTTCTTTTAGATTTTTTGCGGAAAGTAGATAGAAAATCTCGCGCTGGAGTAAAAACATCAACAGATGTAATCTGACCAGACGGTCGGAAAACGTATCATGAAAACAGTGAGAATTTCTTAAAACTCCTCTTCTATTCCTCGAGAGAGCCTTCGAGATGGGATTTCAAAATCAATGATTTCGTCAAGTGTGATGTATCTGATGCCTCATGGCTTGTTTATTGTGTCGAAATGTAGACATTTTTCAGTCAAGTCGATAGAGTTTTGTTTTGCGTTAGATTAAATCACGTTCGCAAAAGGGTAAAAAATGTATACCTCTTTTGACAGAACCCAATTGATGGTTCATCGTCTTGTTCTTCTTCTTAATTTAACTCGAGCATCATTAATTAACAGAACAAACCATTAATACTAGAATATCAATATCAAACTTCCTCTTAGCACCTTGTCAATTACTCTTGAGAACGGTTCATAATACATCATTGAGATGGAAGTCAACAACTTTGATGAATATTCAACTTGATGAAGACATCTAATTTATTAATAAAGGCAAAGACCGTTGAATATTAAGAGGGGAAATTCGGAAGCCGAAATTAGATAAACGTTTCTGCGTAAATTTATATAAGACTGGCACCCTGCTTAGCTGCGCTTTGTATTTTTAATTGCTCTACATGATTTATTTATGAAATTTGCGATGGGAAAATAATTCCAGCGGGAAAGAATTTTCGTCCCGTTAATTCACTTTTACAGAGACCTCATGCAGAGCGCTGAATTGGATTGGAAATTATCCTGGATCGATATCTAGGTAGATTTCAATTAATTTTATTTTTCTAATAATTGGCATTACCTAATTACGTATTAATATACTAATTATTTTGTTTACTAGGTTTCGTGAATTTACATTTTTACATACTTCGTATATTTTTGCATGTTTATACAATTAAAGTTAATTGCCTGCATGTGCATAAACAAGTAGATATATCCTGTATAGTAAAGGAGTTTATTTTTAAATTCAAAAAGGTATGCTAAGTTAATACTGCTCGAGTCCTTTGAGTAGTTTTATAAAATGCTTATCTATCACAATCACGAAAACATTCTTTACAAACATAGGGAATTTAATGGAACTTTGCGATGATGCTTTCTCTTGCACTCGGAATACATTTGCATAAACAGGAATCAGACCGTTCGAGAATTCTTTGTGATTTATCAGGTTTAATATCTACAAAGCGTAAAATATTTGCGAAACGAAAAAATGGAATTATCGAACATTGAAATGTGTTTTTCCTTAGTTTTAGTTTTTCCAAGTTTCGAATCCAGCTTGATCGTGTTATCTTTTTATTTATTAGAGACAGTGAAATAAAATTTAAAACGGAGCGCGGAGTTCCTGAAAACATTCAATTGAGTTTGGGAACCGAGAACCGCTTGAGAGTTGTGAAGTACATATTCCCTGAAAACTAAGACCAATTATAGAAGTTCGTGTTTACCTTATGGAATGTAGAATATACGACAAGACAAAAATGCGGAGAACTTAGACGACTGCCAAAATGAGCAAACTAACGAAAACACATCCATTCGGCGCGTATTATTTAGTTTGTTTGGATTTAATCTAGGAAAAAGTCAAAACAATAGAGAGAATCGATGAGTTCTCTATGGCGAAAACTAAAAGTTTAGTTAGCTCGATGTTTTTCACTCTAATTTTCTTGTGGCTCGAAGTTGGCAAACTTTAAATGGACAAATATCAAGTTGTTGTAGTTTGTATTAATTGCTTCTCAGGCTTTTGTGTTTAATGTTAATTAGATATTTTCTTCCAACTGAACGATTAAGAATAATTCCCCCCGTAGTTTAAATTAGCCTCTAACCGCAACAAATTCGTTGATTCAATTAAGGTTGTTTGGAAATTATTAACAGGGAAGCGCTCGTTAAAAGTTTCTCCAATTACGTGACGAATTAATAAATCAGTTTCCTCGCTGAATCCGTTCGAATACCACCATTGTCCTTCTATCATACCAAGTATATTCAATTACCAGCCATCAGATAGCTTCGATATCAAACCACCGAAACTCGTGGAAATCTAGCCATGGATAATTTTTCCCCGATGCCTCGCCCCGAGGTACACGAGGCATTCCTCAAGGAAGTCGTAGAGCTGATGTTCAAGAACGTGGTGTTTACGACGCGCCGAGATAAAGTGTTGCTGTGGCAAACGCCCGAACAGCTGGAAGAGCACTTCGATTTCCAATTGAAGCAAACCGGCGAAACGCACGACAAATTAATTGGCATCCTGAAAAACACGATCAAGTTCAGCGTCAAAACGGGACACCCCTATTTTATTAATCAGTTATTTTCCGGGTAAGTTTTGTGCTGGTTATTCGGAGCGGTTTTGTAATACACGTGTACGCATTTGAGTTAAATATGTACTTGAGGGGAATAATGATAACGCGAAATTACGCCAAATTATGCATAAACATTTGCTAATTAGATATAAATTGTAGAGCGCAATTAGTTAATTTAACGCTGCGTGGAAGTTATTTTAACGTACCTAGTTATTGGAATATAATTAACATTCAAAACTCGAAATTATTCATTTATTTACTTCAGTTAAAATGAGCAAAGTTACACTTGAATTTACTTCTATATCATATAAGGTTATATAATTTCAATTTCGGCTTGAAAGGCTTGCTATACAGCATTTCTCGGCTCCGTTTAATCGAGTATCGGAAGAAAATTAATTTCGACGTCCGGTTACATTTTCCCGAAAACCGAACGGCCAACAAATATTTGCTCACTATATTAATATCGGATAACAACGGGCCTTTTTTCAGATTGGACCCTTACGGTTTGGCGGCACAATGGCTTACGGACTCGCTCAATGCCAGCGTGTACACGTACGAGGTCGCCCCCGTTTTCACCCTGATGGTAAGAAAAAAAACTTTTCCGCTTAGAGTCGTTTGCTTCTTAAGTGGACGAGAATGAGCGTTTTTATGTAACGAGTTTCTCGGAGCAAATTTTTTCCGTCGTACAAAAAAGTGTCCCGGCGAAAATGCGTATAGGTATTATTGATAGAGGGATTCTTTGCCCCTAGGAGAAGCAAGTTATAAAGGAAGTTTGCCGTATGATCGGCCCACAATGGGAAGACGGCCTCTTTTGTCCGGGAGGTTCTTTCGCAAATGGGATTGCAGTGAATTTGGCCAGATTCCGCCGTTATCCGGACGTTAAGGTATGCAAACGGGGAGGTTGCCTACGTAATTTAAAAAGTATTTACCTCTAAGAGCCCAGCGGGGCGGTTCGCCGAAACGGGAGCTTTATTTACATAATACGCAGCGAGAGCGTTATTCTCCTACACAACTCGCAGTCTATTTGATTTATTGCGAAGCGAGATCTAACAGGTTCATCACACACGATTCATTCGAACGGTAAATATTTCTTATTTATCTCAGTCGCACGGAGCCTCGCATTTACCGAGATTGATTGTACTCGCCTCCGAGGAGTGTCACTATTCGATTTATAAATTCGCCGCTTTCCTGGGCATCGGGGAAAACAACGTGTGCCGCGTGCTAACCGACGACATCGGCAGGATCGTCCCGTCCGACATGGAGAAGAAAATCGCGGAAAATATCGAACAAGGCGCCGTTCCCATAATGGCCGTCGCCACTCTAGGTCAGTGGGAATAATTCAAAGTTGATTTTTGGTATGCAAAGTTTCGGTATTATCGACAGGCACGACCGTGCGCGGAGCTTTCGATCCGATAAACGAAATAGCGGAGATTTGCAAAAAGCACAACATGTGGCTCCACATCGACGCCGCGTGGGGCGGCGGGTTGATTTTCTCGCAAAAACACAGGGCGAAGCTCAACGGGATCGAACGGGCTAATTCTTTGGTAAGTACGGAGTGCATGCCAGGCTGTTAATTTCGACTTGATTACGGCTCCACTAAAGCCGGAAAGTAAATAAAAACCCGTTCGCCGGCTTCGTCGAGCTCTATCTGCATTCGCTCTCGCTGGTGGAATGGAAATTTTCCTAGATACTTGGCGTAAAAAAACACAATAACTTTATGCGAATATTCTTGTGTAATTTAATTTTGTAGGTAGTAAATCCACACAAGCTACTGGCCGTGCCGCAGCAATGCTCGCTTCTGCTGGTTAAGGATCCTAAAATTCTGCTCGAATGCTACTCCAGAGGAGCGGAGTATTTGTTCCAAAAGGACAAGCACTACGATCGGAGTTACGATCTGGGCGATAAGTATTTGCAATGCGGAAGAAAATGCGACGTTTTTAAATTTTGGTTCATGTGGAAAGCTAAGGTGATGTACTCTATTAGACCACACATACTGGCCCTCCTTTATTTATATTTATAAGAGAGTTGTTTTAAACCATACCAATTGACGACTCTGTAATATCACGAAGGGATATAATAATCGGTTATTTCTTCGCACTAAAATTAAAAAAAATATGGAAGCGGTTTCATGTGGAAACGAGAAATTTATTAAAACAAAGCAAAAATATTTTTGCCATGATAGGAGTGCACGCCACGATACGTGCACGATCACGAAAACTGTACATTCGAATTGAATTTTACAGGGCGCCGTAAATTTTTAGTGCGGGCATTTTCCAATCATTTATCTGACATTAACGTGAGGAATCTAGATTAGAAAATTATACAAATTTTTAAACAAACCTAAAACTAGTTAAAATAAAATGCGAAATTCCACGATAATAAGCTTGTTGCTAGAAAAAAACTTCTGCTAGACTCGGTTTAACCAAATCGATATTTTACTATAGATATACAAAATGAATTTTTACTATAAAAAATTTATTAGTGCAATTTTTCCCGGAACAAATTTCACCTGATATGGATTTCCGGATTTAATTTGCATGAATTTGCTGGCCGAATTCTCCAACAACAATTTTATTTGCTAGATTTTCGGAGGCGAACTCAATAAATGGCGCTGGAAATCGTATCAGCCCGGTGCATTTCTCAACTTTGGCTCGTACGCGTACTTCAGATTAGTCTAATAAGAACCGGGGCATCCTCTAATAGAATTACCGAGATTCAATTGAATGCTCGAGCTCTCTCTATCTGCTCTAACCCAGATATACCGGGCGAAAATGTGTGTGGATTTTCTATATTAGATGTTATTTCGTATTATCGGGAGAAATGGGAAAATTCGATGGGGCTTGCCGTTGCCTATTTAAGGGTTATTCTAGAAGATTTTCAATTTATATTGCGAGATTCGAACGAGTATAATAAATGCCGTTTAGAAGAAAGGTCCAAATTACTCTTGGGGTGAGAATTAGACGGTAGTTTCGGGGTAAGACGGTGATAAACGCCCAAACATTTACACTAAATTCGCTGCGAGTGTGGAATTTTGACCTTTTACCAATGGACCTCCGTTCACGCTGAAGGGGATTCAATTGCTATGAATTTCACCGAAATTGGTTTTTCTTGTTTCCTCAAGTACTTGTGTTCGACGCTAATGAGAGAACAATTTGTCACATTCATTGCGACCCTTCAATTTTCCCTTTCATGCACATATTACTACCTGAATATATTCGCTTTCATTATAAATTTACCGAGCTGTGATATCGTCAAAGGTCCGACATCAGGGTCTCGTAAGCGCTATATATCCAAAGCCTTTATGGCATGAATAGATGTAAGCCGGGCTCAATTTTATCTTTCGGATTACACCTTTCCTAAGATATCGCTTAAACATTTGCTGTGTTATTGTATAACCTTCGGGGAATATATATTGCTTTTGAATGAGGTTATCCTGGCATCACAATAGAGCATTAGACGAACATTAAAACTAATATTTGAGAATGTAATGAATTTTTATTGTAGGGTTCCTCGGGCTTCGCGAATCATATCGACACGCTAATGGACGTGGCGGAATACTTCGAGCAGCAGGTGAATAATCGCCCTGAATTCCTGCTTGTTTCGGAGCGCCAGTACATGAACGTTTGCTTCTGGTATTTGCCGAGATACTTGAGATCGAAAACGAATATTTTGGAAAACGGCTCTCAACTGCACAAGGTAAGGTAAATATATGCCACGTTCCCTCCGAAAAAACCTGTATTTCCTTCGGGTTGAACGGACGGTCGTGTTCCATTTATGTGATATATATTGCATGCTGGGGAAGTATCGGATTTCTATAAAACGAGTTTACTCCCGAGTTATTCCGGAATTCTGGGCTGGCTGACTAAATTTAAACCGAAATTAAATTTGCGGGATGCAGCGCTTGTTTTATGCGCTTAGCCTGTTTCGCTAACTTTGGTTTATGAAACGAGTCCTGCAGATAGCGCAAAAAACCTTAAACTACTCATCTGAAACATATTCTTATTTGGACTTAAATATAAATAAAAAATTTCCATAAAATTTCCTTCCAAATTGCATTCCCCAAATCCCTAATTTTAACAATTCCACCACCTCCATTCACCAACTGAAATTGTTAAATTATCCAAAAAACCTCCAATTAATATTCTAGCGTATAATCAATAATAATTATCACAAACTATCACATTACTGTCACCTATGAACTAAAAGCTTTTCTCGTGTTCACGAAATTGTGAATAACTTTGTTCTTTACGTGCGATGTTTCCGTTCCTGCAAACAGGTGGCGCCGCAAATAAGAGCTTTCATGATCAAATGCGGATCAGTAATGTTGGGATATCAACCTTTGAAGGGACTGCCGAACTTCTTTCGCTTCGTTTCGCAGAATTCTGCACTGACGAGGACCGATGTGGATTTCATTTTGGATCACATACAGGAAATAGGCGATGCACTTTTCCAATAAAACTTGGGGAAACGTTGAAAATATGTAGTTTTCAAGTATTTAGCTTGTTTGATTTAGGAGAGTAATAAATACGCTTCGTTTATTGTTGCTTATTAAGGGTAGTTTTATGAAATAACTGCTGGTTTTTAAGTGTGGTATTTGGAAAACCAACGGTTCGATTTTCGATATAAAAATCCGGCATAAAACTGTTTATCGTCGGAATTAGTAGCGAAATTTTGGACGAAAAATCCATAAAACTTTAACGAGACGTTTATCATTTACAACTCGATCGGAATATAGTAATATTTTGCGCGGACAAAAAGAAAATATTTTATTGCGTACGTAAGAAAAATAGCGCATTCAATTGCTGACAAGAAAATACAAGAACTTAAAATAATAAAACTTAGACAATAAAATTGTTTTATCGACGATAAATTTTATGTCGTAAAAGCTTTAAATGTAGGCGAATGATAGCGTATATCTCGGCATCAAGGTAAGTTCCTTTACTTGTTTTAATTTAAAGTAAAGGATTTTATGGTTTCGATATAAAACTCTGCCAAACATTTGCATTTTGCTTTATTTTTTTTTTCTTAATGAAACCGCTTGCGTTTATAAATCACATATGACGTGTTTATTTCAATCTTCTACAAGGGAAGGATAAAAGGAACACTGTAAAAAATAACACGAATTAGTAAACATAACTTTACTGACTTACACATTTAGAACATACATTACTACATCTACGTTTATAATTTGGTTTTTATTAAATCGATTGTAACGATTATTATTTAATAATCCAATAGTAAAACAACGAAGTGGCTTAAAACATTATGAAACTTTTCAGAGAGACTTGAATTTAAAGTTGACATACGAACCATGATTTTTTTATATGTATAGGGTGTTAATTAATTAAATGCAGATGCTTCAGGATGTGAATATTTGTGGATGATTTTAAGAAGATAAGTTTATATCAATGTTTGTCCTAAATCTCTTAGCTTTCAAGCTGCAGGATGTTAAAATTTTAGAAAAAAATAACTTTTCTATCATAATTTTCTTATTACTGGTAATAGTAGAAAATTAATTTTTATCCCCCAAAAAAATGTTTCTATGCTTGGTGGGCGCCTACCAATTTTTAACAAAAATATCAAAATTAGTGTCAAATTACCATGGGAAAAAGTTGTTTTGGTTTTTATTTTTTTCTTGATTTTTTCTGATTTTTCATCTGACCGAATTTACTACAAAATAAATGAGGATTTTAATAATAATTATGGTTTTTAGAAAAAACAGTGGCGTACCATTTTTTTCAAACATATTCTGTTCAAACACCGTTCGGACATCAAAATTGCTCCTTAGTAATTACAAAGTGTATACAAAATTTTACTAAAATGTCTAGAGTAATAAGAAAATTATGATAGGAAACTTTTTTTCGAAAATTTTAACACCCAGTAGCTCGAAAACTAAGAGGTTTAGAACACACATTAAAATAAACTTATCTTCTAAAAATCATCCAAATATTCACATCCTGAAGTATCGACATTCAATTAACTATCACCCTGTGTAGGTACTCATTCGTTGTTTATATTTACAATAATTTAAAAGGTAATCATATACAATCATGAATTCGTTTTGGAGTTGTATCTATTATATCTAACATTATCACTAAGTGACAAGTATCACATTGTACTGAATATAAAAAATCACATGCTCCTTTTTTATAAAATACATAACAATGGATACATTCGATAAATGTTCCTTTCTACCTACCGTAATTTGTACAAGAAAAATTGCTGGCTCACGTAGCTTATGACTAACTTAAGTAGAGGCAGATACTTTGATATAACTCAACAAATAACTGATTTTTTATATCATAGCTGAGTAGGTAATACATTTGATCTTTCCAAAGTACAAAGGTATACATTTAGGAGGGGATTCTAGTTAATTTTAAGTATTATAATATCTACTTTGGACAAAATTTGCTACATTAGATATTTTTGAAGAAAAGTTTCAGTTAATTGATATAGATAAGTATAAAATAGAACATTCATAAAAAATTCACACTACTACAAGTGTAAATAATTCCCCATAAAATATCAATCATTTCATTGAAAAAAAAATTAATAAAAAATATTTCTGATCGTACAATTTGCAATTATTTTGCTATTAATAGAATTCTACATTTGATATATAATTGGAAATTTATTCATATTTTTTGGAATCATTGAAGAGTGCATTGAATACACTAAACTAAAACCTTAGTAAAAAAAAAATTGAAAATATTAGCGGGCTTTCATACGAACTCGTACTATTTTTTGTCATGTCTCCATTACCTCACACCTAAAATAAGTAAATAGGAATGGAAAGAACGAAGAGCATTTTATAGAGTCGATGGATTTTATAGCATCAAAAATAACTTTACTTTTTAGATATATAAATTTCTAATAGATCTACTGATGTAGCAACCAATGGCTTTGATTCGTATATATTTACAAAAATAAACGGATGGAGAAATCATGGAATAACTTTAGATCGATTTTTTGTGTAAATTTCCCTCTACCTTTAACTACATTTATATATAACTATATTCTAATGTTTCTGAGACTACTCCTCCTACTACAAATATTACTAAAAATTGCGAAATAAAAAGTGGTTTAAATAACAAAAAAAATGAAAATTCCATAATTCTCCAATAAAACCTGTTGGTAAATGGACTGAAAATTATTGCTACATTCATTTTTTTTTACATTATACAATATAATAAATTATTGTTATTATCAGGACGATTAATATGGATAATAGACGGACTGATTGGAACATTCAAACTTAATTATCTACAGAGATAGACATATTTTAATCACATCTTTTATACACTAATAATTCGGTTGGTTTAGGTACATTGACTTTGATTTCCTGAAACAAAAAAGAACAATAAATTAATAAAACACACAAAGATAATGATTATATACATAGAAGATAGATATAAAATGCAATGTACTTGTTAAGATAATTGCATTTTTTATCACTTTGAAATATCATTTGCATTTAAATAACTTGGTAAGTTCTTTTATTATTTTTCTTATTAGTAATTTGTATATGAGAAAGTTTGTAGAATATCTAACGGTTCAGATAAATTTTAGATTGATGAAAAAGAAAGGTAGTTAAATTAGTTTTAAAAGCTGATAAGTGAAAGAAAGTATTTCTATTCGATCCTGTATTCTTTTTAATATTCTATCGACTCACACACCCTCAGCCGTAAGTAAAACCGGACGACATCGCACAGGAATGATTAATCTGAAACATAAAATAAAAAAAATTGCCAAGGAAGTGAAACTAATAAAGTAACAATTTTTCTAATTTAAAGCGAATACAGAGTGACCATAAAGACCCGCAACAGGCGATTAACAATAATTCGTTTTCCGCGAAAATTATATACCGTCATCTACAAAACGCAGCGTATACTCCAAGCACGTATTCATTTAACAATTTTCGTTAAAAAGCCGTAAATAAAACTGATATAAGCAAAATTACGCATAAATGACAAATGTAGCGGCCATACTGCTATAAAACCGAAACATTTACAGGTACACCAACATATTATTTATTCCGCGCAGTTTACGAGCCATAAAGTTTTTTTTGTTGCCGGCAATTACACAAATTAACTGTGGCCAATGCGATGTTAGTAAAATTTTTAATGGGGCTTTATTAATTAGATGGAGCCGGTGTGCGCTTGTTCTCGGTTTATAGGCGGCGAAAATGGATTTCGGTAATTCGCACGACACTGCCCAGCTGCCTCTAGAGTTACAAAGGAAGTTGTACAATTTTTAAGTACCCTAGGAAAGTTTGAGAAAAAAGTAGCAAAGAATTTGTAAATAATTTATTAGGTTGTAAAAAATATGTTTGGCAAAGACATTCCTGCGCGATTGTCTTTAGGCGACTTGAAGAGTTGCACGGGGAATCGTAATGTCAACAATTCAACAAACAATTTCGTATATTAAGTGCAATTCTTCGGGAAAATGCGGGTTTTATGTCGACCACTTAAGAAAATTTAGCATCCGTATTTCACAGAAGTGCATAAAATCGCGGGAATGCATAAATTATGTTTCCAGGGTGGTCTGAAGTCGGCGGATGGCGAAATTTTAATTATATGTTGAGATGGGTTTTACGACTCATTCTCGCTCAAAATGGGTCTTTATTTAAAAAAGGGATTTCGGCGGTGCCGACGTTTTAATTAATTAAAAAAAACCTATCATTCGCTTCTAAACTACTAGGTATATAGAATATCAAAGGTAATTTTTATGGGAGCGAAAACATTTTTATTACCACAAAACAACACCTCTCGATCGATGGTTATATGGGGTATTAAATATTGCGGAACCTTTTATATTGCGAAGGTACTTCTAATTAACGTCACTAAAAAAACTATTCTCAAGTAATATCCATAAAACTAAAAGTTTTATGTAGAATTGTAATTTATTAAAACGTATAACAAACTATCGGCCATAAAATTTATTTCAATATTAAATGTAATTACCTACCCACCGTAGTTGCCATGGTTTATATCGGCCATAATATATCGATAGAGATGAAGTTATTTATAAAAAAATCACGGTATGGTTTATAGTCACTTATAATTTTTACGACTCATATAATTTACAGAAAATTATCTCCAAATGCGTTTTAATTGATACAAATTGATACATTTCCACTATAACACCAATAATCACCCAGCAAATCTTAAGACTGTTAATTACAAATTTTTATAGTCGTTTCTTCGACTCTTTGAGCAAACCAATTAAAACAAGCAATCAACGCCGTATAACTAACCGTAAATCAAACAATTCCAATTACCCAGACAGTAGAAAACAATAATTTCAGAAATCGTCTTCGCAACCGAACCGATCCCGAAAGTAGATTTAGCAAGAAACATTCAGGATTACAATAAAATATAGGAGAGAAGTAGACGTAAAAGTCAGGAAACACATATATCACGAAGTTTATACGGTTTAGACTTAGTCTGGTAGAGAACAGACTATAAAATAATCTCGGAACAAAACAAAGGTGAAAAATTTTAACTGCCATAAAAAGTCTCGGCCGAAATGCCAATCGTAAAGTTACACGAGTTGCGAAACTATAAAGTAGTCGGGGTTTCGACGTAGAACAAACCTAGTAATTACAATCGGAATATAAACCAGGTTTTTTTTAAATTAACGCCCATTTATCACCTACCGTACATTTTTTCTTACATGCCAACGACAGAGAATTAGCCTCGTTTCCATCGAATTTTCATTAGCCAAAATCGTACCTCGGAGTTGAAATTATTTTCACTTAAAACCGTCCAGGCTTACCTATAATATAATATACCAGGTGATATTAATTTATAGTTAGAGTTTCACGTGGAAATTCCGAGCGCTATACATTGGATTCTGCAAGATGTGTAAGTTTTATAACTCCATACTTTATTCATACCGACGTTATGACGTACTTGACGAAATTGTAAAATATATTTATGAGCAATTTTATGTATTATGTGATACCTAGTCTAGAAAAAGGCGGAAAAAAAACTATGGAAGAAGATCAGCAGAAAACCAAGGGTTCAGTTTTATGTCGATCTCATTAAATATTCATTTTAGTTGCGATACGAAATTGAAGGCGCTATTGAAATATCTCCGAAATTGAATTTTTCCGTGAAAAATGCCTTCGCAGGACGCGAATAAAAATTTTTACTTTATAACTTAGATGAAAATTTAATTTCAAAGAGAAAATCCGCGAATGTTTTAGCTTCCTTTATGTTTGATTTCGCAAAATTACCGAGCACGCAATAACTAATGCCCGAAAATGAGTTTTTCCTTTCAAGGCTGTAACTAGAAACTTTAAATGCACCTCAAATACTTCACACAATAAACGTACCAGATGAGGTCAACTCATTGCCCTCTTAAACTTTTACGAGGGCACATAAAAAATATTTGATTCCGTTTCTAAAAGAAAGTAATAAAAATAAACACGTGTGAGCGCCAAAGTCGCCGAGGGATTTTTTCTACCACCTTCTTTATACCCATTATTATTAACGCTACATAACAAATTGGGTGAGTTCGGTACAACTGAAGGAACATTAAAGGCGGCTATGCGAGAAACCAGGTTTCATTTGTTCGAGTCGTAAAACTCGCAAAGAAACTATGAATATATTTAAGTTTTATTGCCTAATTATGACAGTAGCTTCCACCATTTTTATGTTCAGACAGGCTATTATGTATTATTTTGTTGAGATACTTCAGACGCCGAAGTATAATATAATTTTCGAGAACGAGAACAAAAAGATTACACGGAATGCCAACAAACAGCCGATTGTATTTTTTAATGGAAATCATAACGCTTTCATATCGGTTGGGTGCGGAATGAACGGGTGGCCGACGAATAACGATGCGTTAACATTTCGCATTTACATTTACCATCGTTTATTCACGCACCAATCGTAAATTCGCTATTTTAATGCAAACGTTCGTGTACAGGGTGTCCCGAAATCGTACAATCAGTCGCGTTCGCCAGCAGCATAAAAAATTAGCAATTTTTGGACACCCTGTACGCGTGAGTACCTGCACAAATCGAGCTGAAGATTATGAATATTTAAATAAACACCAGAAGTAAGGTTGAATGGAATACAGAGTGTTGTAAGTAGGTAACTGTACAAAATTTCTAATGCAATTAGATGTGGAATGTAATTATTCTCAATGAGAATTTGTTTATGTAAATAGTAGAAAAGTCCTAAATAAAATACGCTATTTGTTCGATTTAAAATAACATTTTTGTTCACATCTTATTTCCCTTTCTCTCCATTTTTATATTTTCTTGGTGAATTATTCAACTACTATAATTTTCGAGAAGAAAAAAATTGACAAAATATTAAATTTTGTTTGAAAGTGTGTCAATGTGCATTTATTACCTACAGCAAAGCCGACGAAACGGTTATACCCCAAGGTGTTATTTCACTTTATCTCACCTTTTATAGATCACTTCGTAATATCGGAGTCTCTCAAAAAGCAATAAATGCGGGGAAATTGACAATGCGCAATAAAATTAGTCCTGGGAAGGATATTTCGAAATGTCGATAGAAAAATTACAATTTCGCATTCAACTGGGTACAGACAGACAGTAAATGATTTTATTTGCTGTGATTGTGTAGGGTGGTAAAACATTTAAAATTCCTAATGATATCTGGAAATTTGCACAAAATTGATGCGTAAAAATCAATTGGAACCAATCTTGAAATTGCAATGTAGTATTTTTATCGCACTGTAGAAACTGTATATTTTAGTGATTTGATTTAGAATTTTTATTATGCACATGGTTCAAATAAACTTTCATTTTTGGAATTTATCAAAGATATATCATATATATTTTTATAACACCTTGGAGAACAAAATTTTACGAATTTTTGGAGTATAGTTTACATGTATTTAAATTTTATTACTTTTAGAACAAGTAGTTTCGGCAAAAACATTGTCTTCGGGTTCCGTCGTATCCCAGAAGAATAACTAGACATTTTATTCTCTGTTTGTTCGAAATGTTTCCTATAAAGCGTGAGAAATGCGAATAATACAACTATGAAAAATTTTCATTACATTTTTCCAACGACAAGAGGTGCTGCAATTTTGATAACAGAACGTATGCAGGAGTAAAATTAATATGAAGGGAAGATTTTACATGCTTTAAACTTCCATGCATTTCCGCCCAGGAGCACTAAACCATAAACCGGTCATAAAACCCTGTGAGCGCTCCAAGAGCGGTGTTCTAATGTGCCGCAGGCTATCCACTCATCCATCTACTGCACCAGTTTTCAATTCAGGATACTGGGTTTATAGACTTTTGGGATTAATGGAATGGAACAACTTTCCTTAATTTAACTTAAATGAAACTTTAAATACAACGTTTTTATGTCGCTGAATTAATCGTGAAAAATATATACCTAAACTTCTTTTCATTCCTGCTGCATTGTGACCATGTTCTTTTAAAGTTCACTGGAATCATAGAAGTTTGCATCCAATAGAAATCCGCTATTTTTATATACATAGATAGGTACTTGCATAACCACATATTGTCACAATTAACAAATAAACTTACCAATAAATCTATATGATTTATTCCAATATCCTTGTATTTATAGAAATAATTTGAATACTTACTGTTTTAAATAATAAATAATTTTTTTTATGAATGCCTATAAAAACTATACCTACTATATACCACGGAGCAAATTGTACAGGTACAGTAAATTTTGATTTTATAGTATTATGTTGAGACCAGATCTTATGTAAAGTAGCCTTTTCAAATGAAAACCTCGTAATGGCGACGTGGGCGTTTTACTAGCTAGTGTTGGTGCAAATAGTTGATATAATGACTATTACGATAATTTTATATTGTTTGCTTTCAGTTGGCACAAATTGCAAATAAATACAATAAAATAAAAGTATATAAAATTTAGAACTAGTTGCCTTTTATTGCCGCCGCAATTTGCCACGTTCTTTTTCCAGCGTTTATGATTTAAATTAAACTAGATTTATTTATTTTATTTAAGCTGCAAGCGAAATGTGATTAGGTAATAATGTGAAGCAATTAAAAAAATCTTTACAATTTGCTTAAGTGACTATTAATCTTCAAATTAAAAAGTTTATGGTGATCGTTGGTGTATAATTTATAATAGATATAGGCACTTGAACAATTATTACCTATATCCTTAATCAATAAGTGGAAGTGGAATTTTATTGAATTAATACCTTGCTGTAGATAAGTAACATACGTACAGTAGGAAAATCAGGTCGTTTAATTATTACTCCACCGCAAGTTTATTAACAATAACGAAGAGAAATAATCCATCCTGTATATTTAGTCTCGATGCAATATTTTACGAAGGCTATAAAATGGATATAAAGTGCGTTTTACGGCTAACGTTAATGTTGCGGTACGTAGAATTCCTAGACGGGATTACTCCCAAAGCTCGTTTTGAATTTACTATTTTTGCATATACAGCCTCGTTAATTAAATGGGATTCCGGTGTGAAAATTGTCAAATTGTTAAAAGGTGTAATAAACCCTTCAGCTTTACGTATACATCTAAATATTGCCTAATTTTAAATTTTAAACACCTACCTACTCTTCAAAGCCACAAGCTAAAAATTTAAGCGCCCCACTAACCCAATTTACACGCTTACTTTCCTGGTTTTCAACGTACCTGTCGCGAGTAAAGCGAAAGTAAAGCGCCGCTCAATCCCGCTCTATTTACCTTATCACGTTCGACTCTCCGGCCTAATTGGGGTGTACGCTAGGGGTGAATTGGCGGTCGGCGAGCTGGGCGAAGAACACGTCGTCGGGGCCGTGCTGAGCAACGTAGACGAAGGATAATGACACGAATTAGGATTCAGCAACCAAGGCGAGTAGTAGAAGGCCGATGCGTAAAGACTAGGATGATTCCATGGAATTGTTTGGTAGCTACATTGTAAAGCTAAATTTGGCACAGCTCTGTAACAAAATTCAAATTCCAGACACATGCAGTCATTGCTATAATCAGTAAAATATGATGGAGTTAATTGATGCAACGATTTCGTTAGTTATAATGAAGTAATTTAATTACCTTGCTTCTCTTAGATTTTGCGTTTCTCGAAAAGCTGCAAATTAAAAAAAAACAAATTTATTAAATTAGTTATAGAGTTAATTCTTTTGGATAAAACGAATATTTACGACTGCATAAATACCCAATTCAAGTAAAATCTGCATCAATTGCTAAAGGTTTTATGGAGTTTTTTTGCATACTGGCGAGATGCTTAATAAATCAATTGGACAAAAGTTTATGCAGCACTCGAGGCGAATTCCGCCTCGATCTGACTCCATCCCATTGAAACCGCTTTCCTGCAAAGTTCGGCAGCTCCAGACTCCGGAGCTAGCCAGCGACTTTGACGGTCGTAAAATTTTTAACCCTGGAAGTATCGACTACGTTGCGTATGTCGGGTCTTCTGTATTCATGAAGCTTCAGTTTCATTGCCGGATATTATTCCAAACATACAATAGACTTAAATGCATTTATGCGAAATCGATACGTGATGAAATCATTATAGATAAGAGCTTTATTCCATAGGTATCACGTGACCTTTATTAGATCCAGTTGCAATCTTATAGTCTAGCTATAAATTTTATACGCTTTGACTCAGCACGGTTGCTTGCTTTTTAAATTAGGAGTCGTAAAAGTAACCACAATTTCGAAGACGGGTGAAAGATTGCCTCTACTCTTCCTGGGAACCATCAAATGATAATGAAATTGCACTCTGTATTTTGTTTCATTCATAGTAAATATTTCAGCTATGGTAAAATATTCGATTTACTCTTTCTGATATACGAATGTTACCATTCGGAGTTTATTAAAGTTTTTTTTTTTATTTTAACTTATAAAATTTATCTGCAACTTTTGATATTTCATAAGTACTTAGTGCTTACCCACATGGAATAATAAAATTCTTAATATCTCATTCGATAATACAAATTACTCCGTTTATATGCAAGGACGTTTTATTTGAATATAAAATTTTAGAACACTACCTATCCATATAAATGGAGTAATTACTTCGCCATACGGTATTTTAACAAGTAGGTAATATTAAATTTGTCCAAAATGCAAACAAAATTTGCGAAATTACCTCGATCGGTAATAGCCGTAATAAACCCTTGAGCAAAATACGACTCCAGCCAATAGGGCCCTAATGGCTGGTATCGCATAATACGTCAATATTGCAAAAGCACGCATATGCACATACTAAAAATATTATAACCTTTGCATTTATGCGGCTATAAATTATAGTTTAACGATTCTGTGCAGTTGTTTCAAAAACATTTTACAACGTTACATCTACCGGTTGTATTATACAAAAAAAATTATTCACACTTTATTCTCATATTGGTTTATTTGTAAGTTCGGCCAGCGAGGCCGCGAAGTCGAGAGTTCCCTTTTTGTTCGCCAGAAACGGCGAATTATGCAATTACCACGCTTTCGTTTCATTGTCGTCGAACGTGCTGAAACAGTAGCCGATATTTTTTCTTCTCTCGCGACATTTCCAATCGGTCGCTAACAATGTCGCTAATCATCCGGCTTATTGTTAGTTATACTAACTTATTAAATCCAGTCGAAATTCACTCAGTTCCCTCGCGAAACTGGCGGTGATAAAAAAGTGATTAATTGTAATAGTAATACAATTAAGCACTAGCAAATGCTCGTAATTACTTTTCGAATTGCCGGTTAATTGGCCGCAAAATTCGCCGTACGGCGAAAGAAACGGTTCGATCGCAGTAAATGAATTGATTTACGCTAAGTGATAGGGCCTGACGTGGATTTATACGGCATAATAAAGTGATTAAAAAGCATCGTACTCTAATCGCAAAAACCGTACATAAAATAAATCATCTAATACTTTATACTTTATACTATTAACGCTCGCAAGATTTATTTTACGGCCAGCCTTGTAAGCGAGCTTTTCCCTTAAAAATATTTAATTTTATACCTCAATGAATTATTATTATCATAAAAGTTGGCTCTTTGGTTTTAAAAACTTTACAAAGACTTTCTTATACCTATACATGAACAAAATACATATAGGTACTTATACAAGGTGTGTCATCTCTGGTACTTGGTAGCTAATTAATTGAATTGGCTTTTTGTTTTATACATTATATCTAGACATATCCCGGAGATATCATAAATTATCTAGACATTCGCAATGTGATCTCAGATAAGAGGAAAATTATTAAATATGGTAATTATACGGTCCGTTAAATAAAGACACATAATTTTATATAATAAACTTACCTTCTTCTATTCTAGTGAAAGCATTATCTTCGTTTTGTTTGGAATATTTTAAAACGACACTAACTAAAGAAATCATCCTCCAAGATAAATGAAACTTGTCCCTCACTCGATTGCATAAATTCAAAAGAACTTCTACCAATTGTCCTGTCGAAAAATACAAAGAATTAGAATATAATCAGAACAGATCATAAAGAAAAGTGAACATGCCAACATTGGAAAACATTAAGTTGGAACCGTTGGGTGTAATTTGTGTCATGTTACCATTCATTTCAAATATTTCACGGTAGGTTTTTCTAAAAATAAGAACATACATTATTTAATTAATGTATTTTAAATTTGACAATTGCTAGACGTGCATGTGTGCAATGTCTAATAATAGTGCACCGCTTTATTCCGAATAAAAACCGAATATCTCGATGAACCCGTTATCAAAACTAACTTCCGCATAAATAAAAATACGACCTTGCTCTTGGCAATGAAATTACGAACTACACGTGCCTAATTTGTTACTATGTTAGATATCAGCTGATCAATGTAGACGTCCTATTATTACGAGTTAAATTGCATAAGCAATTAAGTTTTTTATGTCTGATAGATAATAATTTCTCTAGGAATTTCGCGCGAGAGATAGCGATTACATTCCCATTTAGAGTTGCAATTTGTATTACTATTCTGCGATATTATGTTGCAATAATTACAACGATATCTGAACGTGAGAATTGTATGTATGTATGGAGAAAAGTTAGTTGACCTGAAATCGCTTGATTATAGTATCTGCATTTTTTATGATTGATTGTTCAATTAAGTTAAAAAAATTTTGCTTTATACTTGATAAAAATGGTTGTTAAACCGATATGAAACAAAGTATTATTTTATATAAAATATATTTTTAAGTGTAAAATCAATTAAAGTTATTAATTTTTTATATAATTAATAGTTCGTTATCTCCAAACTAATTGACCATTAATACCTATTTTCCTAATTTAGAAACTTTGTGTTAAATAGTGGCAAATACATTTTGAGCACTTTCTGTTCCCATTCATCAATTCGTCGACACAATTAAATTTGAAAAATTACCAAATTCTGAAAAATAAATTAGTTAAATATTGAAGTCGGTTGGCTTTGTATCAATTTCAGCTTTTTCTATTGAAAACATTGATCGCTTAATTAACGAGGAGTTTGATTTTAAATTGTATAAGCAATCGCCCAAGTAATTGCATAGTAACAGAATTTAAAGCGAAACAGTGTTACAGGAAGAAAATTTTGAGCTATTTAATTTTTTTTCGATTCAAATTACTGAATGAATGATTCGTAATTTATGAAAATTTTGAATTTAAAGAGAATTTAAAAAGGTAAATGCAATAAGAAGATTGCATTTTACTATTTGTTGAGCAACATTTTATTAGATATTAGATAACTTTTTATCAAATTTTGACCTTTAGCTTTAGTTATTTTATATACTTATTTTTAAGTTTTTATTTGAACATAAGTAATCTCAAATTTACTAATATTTAAATAGTTGAATTTTATGATTTTGGCATAGCAACTTTAGTAAAAAAACGTAGTAGATACACACAAGGTGAATTTAGACTATCATTCCCTAATAATAATTATTAAAAAACGTTATACAAACGAAAATTGAAATAATTATAATAGATATGATAACACAACACAAAGTTACAATTTTAAGAATTTCTGACGTATTTTTTTGAACGAATATCCGCATATTTAACATGCGATATGTCGAAACTTACCATGAAGAACATGAATATTTCTATCTTGATATTCAACGTTCTCTCCAAATTATTATACTTGACAAGTTACATTACATTATTCAAAAAAAAAATTATATTTCTGTCGCATACAAATATACAAATACAACTGTAGGGCTAGTTGTATAAGAAAACTTTCGAGACGCGTTTCTACTAAACATTACACATTGTCCTTTAGTCGTTTTAATTAAACTTAAATGAGCTTGGTTTTTTCCAAGATGCTACACGGACGAATTAATAAATAACTGATTTGTACACGGACGGTGAAAATTTAAATGAGAACGTTGCATTTAAACTGCAGGTTAACGGACTTGAACGTCGAATTATTGTTGATCGGTGTTCTTCTATCTTGATTCGTCTTCGGATCTAGTTCGAAAGAAAAAATAATAAACAAATAAATTTTGCTGAAAATATTGAATTAATAGAGAAATATCACCCAATAACTTATTAAAAAAAATCGAAAGAATTAACCAAAGATCAATTATTTAATTTGAATTGTTTTCTAATCAATTAAAAGTTGGGTGAAAACTAATTTTTTAATCATCCATACTGACGGGTTGAATTTCGAAGTTCCACGCCATCGTACATATTCAAATTATGGATTCTTGAGTATTCGTTGACGACTCTCTTTCCTATAGTTAATAAAAATAGGTTTATTAATATTTTATCCTATACTATGCGCATATGTTGGTAAATTGATAAAACATTCTACCTAAAGGGTAGTTACAAAAAAAAATAATCGTAAAAACATTCGAACATAAAATTGCAATTAAATTTTTAAAATAAATAGACAAATAGAAATTGCATAGGAAATATTTTTTTAATTACTTTTTGAGAAACTGCATAATACAAACATCTATTTGTATTTATTTTATTTACATGGTATAATTATAGAGCATGATTTATATGCTACAAATATCTATAGCTTATAAATTATACAAACGCAATTAAATTTTAGCAGAATTTAAATTTAACCACAAAAATATAATATGAAATGAAACATCTTATCTGTTCAAACGTTTCCATAAGTCGAGTGAACATCTATCAATATATTATTTAAATAAGTAAAACAATTGATGAAAAATTCGTTAGTAAAAAATTGTCAAAATTTAAATGCTAACAACTTGGTAATAACTTCAAAAAGACCTACAATTATCGTGGATATTATACCAAAAAGAGATAATGAACTAATTAAGTGTATCTATTTAATTACAAACTTTTCAAAAATTGACATTTTTACATATTTCTATCAAATAGAGGCAACTATATAATTAATTTTGTTTAATTATGTGTAATAAGAAAAATGGTTCGGTAACTAATTTAAAAAATAACTATATGGGAACGCAATAAGAATATTTCTTAATTATTATAATGTTTTTGCGTGTCCCTTTTGGTATATCGATCAAAAAACTTTTTTATTCATTTTAGTAGGTAGATACTTAAAGCTTTTGAAGTTATCGCGTGTTTTCTACACATTTATCAACTTACAGGATTTCGTATCTATAAATGATTGACAATAATTGCATTAATACACTTTGCTAAAAAAGTAACATTATAATAAAATGCTTACAAATTAAATATTAGTAGTTAATCTACGAAGGGTATTCCAAAGTACAGAAGCACTTCAGTTTAATAGACATTTTCGATTAGAAATGAATTAGTGAAAAATCTACAAAAGTTTTTAAAGGTACCTAAGGTAAGTACTTATGAACTACCCTGATGTTCACATATTGATTATTATTGCTATGAAATCACTAATTTAAAAATCATTTGCGTATAGAAACTAAAGATTTTTAAACATGGATTTCAGTACAATGTGTATTACAAATACATACATAGGTTTTCAAATAGCAAATTATTATAATAAATTGAATGATTCCTACCTTCATCTATCCTCCTAGAAGCCTCCTCCAAATCCGCTCTGGCGTCTTTGAGTATGGCGTACATTAATGGCATCATTTCCCATGGGTACTTAAATCGTTCTAGTAATTTCTGGCAGTCTTCCAGCAGGTCCGAGCTTTGGGCAACTGCAATAAAATTTCCCAAATATTAGGTACAGAAATTTCAACGGGCGCTATAATTTTAATCCAGCGTCGGATATTTTTTAATTAATAAGCAAGTTTAGCATAGTTCTTTTATTCCAGTTATTGAATTAAATAATGCCTATTGAATGTTGGTGCTATTATAATAGCTGGTACATATTTGAAAGGTTAAATTTTTGTTGAAACAGAGCCCCTACCCTTTGGGCATTGGAATAAAACGGGCAGGATGTTGCGTGGTGCGTACGGCGTACGCGTGTCACAACCTTCCCATTCCATATCCTCGCCAACCGAGTATCGAGGTCTGCACTCTGCGGGTTTTCGTTCTCGCTCGCAATGGCTTTACCGAAACGCAGCGTAACATTAATCACTTCCTTCTATCTAGAGACATGTGCCTCATAACGCCTGCAATATCCAATAGAAGTTTAGATAGTCGTAAAAGGTGGGGCCTACGCGAGCCTCGCTATTGCTATTGGATATGATCATAATCCGAAACTGGATTCTCCGTGAAAAAATACGCTCCACTCCGGGTGTTTTATAATGATTCTATTGTTCAAGGCTCGATCGAAGAGGAATGGTAACAAATCGCGACTGGAGGGAGGTAAAAAGCCGATAAAAAGCGCCGGGTAATTAACGTTCTATCTGACTCGATTCGGCTTTCGTCGTTATCGATGCATAAACATAAAAATTCGACGATAAACTAACGACCTTTTACGTTATACAATGAATGATTACTTGATTTTTCCATTTATAATCTTTATTTGTTACCTAGTTAAATTTTTTTCAAACTATTTAATGAAAAGTAAAAAATTTTATTACTGACTTATAGAAGCGCTTAATTTTATTTTATAACTTGCTACTTAAAACATATAAAAATTGGATTTGAAAACATTCCAATATTTTCTACCTACCTACTCACATATAGAATTAATACTAGCTGATGTATTCCCGAACTAAAATATATTACTTAAATTGTTTTATTTATAGTTGCTCGTTATTTTATCTAATTTTTAAAAATGTGTTCTTGTATATCACAGTTCAAATGTATTTATATCACCCCGTTTCATTGGTTAACGTTTACATAGGTGAATCCTGAAATTGCGTTATGCCTAAGCAGCACACCACGCAGTAAATAAATCTCGAAAGAATTTTTACGGTCTTATATCCCGTATAGGTAGTCGATCGATGACGAGATTAGTTTTCCGGAGATCAACCGAACCTTACATTTTTCTTGTTTGCCATCATCAGAATAGCTCTTTTCGCTTTGCCTCGCGTCTCATACATATATTTTCGATGCAATTTTTAACCCTTATTGTTTGGTTTCAAAGTTAGAAGAACGTCGGAATTTTCGAGTTTCCAGGACACGCAAACAAGGATTGGTCTCCTGCACTTATTTCGATTATGAGTATGACCTAATTTAACAAAATATTGGATTTTATTAACGAGGTAAATTTTTATCTGAACACGATTCTAATACCGGATGTAATATGAATAAACTTAATTTCTATGTAAAACGATAACAAAGCCTAATAGATGCATTATCTCTCTAAGAGAAACAACTACGCAATTAATTCTTTTTGTTATGAGTCCTCGAAATATTTATTTTTTCTCTGATAGTCCTACTGTTTTGTTGATGTTTGTTTTATTTGTCCTCATTTTTAATCTAATTCAGTTATAAGTATTCATGTCTCACCATTTACTGCAAACACAAAATCTATACCACGTGCAAATATTATTGTGTAGTCATACCCATAAGCTACTCGTTTTAATTTACATTACACCTATTTAACAATTATTTATTCTTAATTAAGCTATACCTATAGACACTGCACCCACGAAACAACTCAATAAAATTTCATTATAATACGTAATACCGGGACATAAATGAATCGCATAAAATTAAAAATATAAACTGTAGTATAGCTGCATTTGGTGCACTTTTTATTGGATTTAATTACGGAATTTCGCTTCCCGTTTAGCATCTAAATAAGCCCTAAAATCCCCGCCTTCCCCGAAGGCGACTCGCAGGCAAGCCGGTCTCATGCGGGATATCCTCCAGGATTCCGTTACTGACCAAAGCAAACACACTTTAAATCGAGATACGTGAGAAATAAAAGGGTATAAAGTTTTATGTTTCTCCGAGTCGTTACGACTGCAAAATTTTAATGGATTGTCGTTAAGTTGGGGTGTGCGAGGACCAAACTCCTAAAGCCGTTATTAAATCCGCAGAGATGCTACCGTTTGTCAAAATCGATTTTCCCGGAGCTCGTTCTAAGGGCGCTTTCGATTATTTTTAAGGGCGCATGTAAGTATTTCCGGACAATTGAATGGACAAGAGAAAACCCACATAAATAGGGTATAATATTTAAAAATTTGTAGGCTAGGCTATAGTTTTCCAGCTATACCGAAAACTAAAACAATGATTTATGCGGCTATAGCAGGGTATCGTTCAGGAAGTTATCTAGTTTATAGTTGTGAACAAAAGATGGAGTATTACTGATGCGAAGAGAAAATGAAAATCTTATCTTTTATGTGTTAATTTACGGCTCTTTCTGAACCTAACATCTTATCTGGCTCTTAGTATGCACGGGTATTTGCCTTTACCTTACGTCTGGAATTATGGATGGATGATTAAAGATTAAAACTAGCTATATTAAGTACTCTTACATACATTATTATACTTTTATTAGACTAATTAAACTCTTATTTTCGTTTTTGCAAAAAATTTTATCGTTCAGAAATGTCATGAAATCATCCTCTCGTGTATAAAAATAACTTGTTACGGTATGTGGAATGATGTTTCTATAATAATAATAATGTCTTACTAGGTTTTCAGTTTCTCGTAGGAAATTGATCACAATAAAATTACCAGTTCATGTTTCTGTTGTGAAAAATTTTGTAGGTTAGTAAATAATATCTATAGAAATCATGTAATTAATATTAGGAATTAGACAGGTCTAAAAAGTGCATTTCAATTATTCGTTTCTTACGTAAAACTTATCGGAAAATGTATTGGGAAATGTGTGAATATTTCCCGTATATTTCCCACCTGTATTTTATTTGGAGCATTTAAAAGAAAACCATCTGCGAATTATAATTAGAATTCTATTAGTTTCATTCAATGAAACTTTTCTCATAGCATTACAATACACCGTGTAAAAATAATTGCTTCAAATCACGTTAATAATAGATTACATTGTTACAAATGAAAAAGCTATTAATTATAAGCATAAAAAATCAATTGGCGCATTAAAAAATATCTTCTTGGCCAGAATTAGCTCAATTTCTCTATTTGCAAGATTCAATACCTATAACACAATTGTTTTTCTTTGTGAAATAATACTCCTATTACGGATCTGGGTTTAGTCTGTTATCCAATACTCTTGTACAAGATACATGTGCAGTCAGTAGGTTTATGCACTATGTGTACTCGATCAGTGGGTTACCTAAATGTTTTTCACACGTTCTCAAGTATTTGGAATGATGGAGAATAATTGTATTAGAGGGTATAACATAAATGAATATTTTGTAATATATGAGAATGGTATATAATACATTTTAATCAAATTTAAACAGCCATGCAAATATGTAAAAACATTAAACGTAAGAGTGGGATTCGATATAATAATTCGAAAGTATTAGCGCGACAATTTCAACCATCCTGTAAAATTTATGATCTCGGAGCTTATCAGAAAGCTCTCGGAAAGTACGCGAACATCCTCAAAGTTTCTTTGATTGCTACTCTTACGCTTTTTAGTACTATACTTACTTTTAAACCATTTAAAGCGGTAACTGCATATTTTATTACGAGGAACGTCGACTCGAACACTATACTTTTTAATGGCCATTTTTTTACTAAATGAATTATAACCCATGAAAATATTGCAGGCTCCCTTGCACAATGCCCCGCCGGTAATATAACTTAGTCATTAGGATGCGTTCTACTAGATCGGTTTTTATGTATTTTTTACGAGCGGACGTTTCAGAATTCGAATCTTAGCTGCTCCGCTATCTACGAAATCGACTATATGGAGCTCAGTGGCGGTCTCAGGAAGAACAACATGCGATGAGCATTCTTTTAGGGAAATGCTTCCATACAAAGTTTCAAATTAAATTCCAGACTTAATAGATTTCTGATCTAATGCTAATTCTCCATACTATATTGCTCTAGCGAAATACTCGAGTATTTCATAAAAATATTATACGAAAACCAGTTCGATAAATTTATAAGAATCAATTTTTCTTAATTAAATTTTGCATGAAATTATCATCGAGCTAAGTGTCACCAATTTGTCGTGTTTATTTCCAACGGTACTCTTATAAATTATTGTCGTTTAATAAAGCAATTATTTTAATTTGCTTCTCATCAAGCCTTAATTTATTATACCAGGTCTTCTGCGGTAATGTGTTATATGAAGACGTTTTCAGAAAGGAAGGAAATGGCTCTTTGCAGAATTATAATCCGAAATTAACTATAGAATACACCATATTAATAAATAATCGAACCATTAATACATCACAATTTGCTATCAGAATTTCCTCATGAAAATAATGCATTTTAAATCAGCACATTAACTCCACATTGATCTAAATTTTTTTCGCAATATTTATCATACAGCGCTTTAAAATATATTCGTAAGTTTCAATATCATTTCGTATTCGACAGTGAATTAAACGAGCCGAAAAAACCGTAATTTACGAACGAATGCACGCACTAAGGGGCGCCTACCCGCAATCTGCGGTTACTTAATTCGTTTAGATACTCGTAAAAAAGCCATAAGTATAAGTAAAGCGAGTGTAAAAACGGTTAACGATGTTTTTTATTCGAAATTAATTAACTGGATTGTTGGATTTATGATTGAATGCATTGTTTCAAATAATAACAATGCTGTGATTTGCGACACTTGCTTTTAATTCATCTCGAATTTAATTAATTTGAGTGTAAGGAACCTGTACGATAATTAATATCGGTAACACATTGGTAAATA